TCACCAGGGCAGAGTAGAGGGGGAGGAGAACCTCCCTCGACCTGCTGCCCACACTCTTCCTAATGCACCCCAGCCTAGCTGCTTCCTCCAGACTTTGCCCTGCTACACCCTGACGCCATTGGGCTGTCATCCAGTTACGCCTTTAACCTCCTGGTCGCTTATCCCCAGGAAATGCGCGTACGGAGATCTGCGGAAAGAGAAGCGTGGGCGGTACAGCCACACCTGGGCAGCGCTGTCGCGACCGGGCAGCGCTGTCACAACTGGGCACCGAGGAGGGAGCAGAGGCTGCGTGCGCAGCCCTGGCTTCCCCCTGCCCTGCTCGGTGGGGCAAACCTCTTGAAGGTTGACGGGTGGACGGCTTTTCCATGGAGGAGACACAGAGTGTGGAGTTCTGACACCGGAGTTTTGAGGTTAAGCTCTCTGGTGGTTCTGAGGTGGAGTTTTACGGAGCCGGCGCGGAGAAGCTTCGGGTTGGTGCGGTGCCTGAGTAATCCCAAGAGCACTCTGCGAAGCGGCGAAGTACGTGTGAACCCGGCGGGTGCGTGGGCTGGAGATAACGAGGAGCTGAGGAGGAGAACGTTCTCGCTGGGGAGGAGGTGGAATAACGTGGGAGTGGGGGGTCCCAGCGTCATGGTAATTTTTTTGACAGGCTTCCTTGTGATTTTTTAATATATCAAATAGAGTTTAATAATAGCCTGCTATTAAGCCCTTTTATTTCTCCCTTGGGATTTACTTATGACTGTTGCCTCTCTTACCCATTTGAAGCTCTGAATCTATTTTCCAACTGTGAAGAACTTAGCAGCGTGAGTGCATGCATAATATGTAAAAACATGCAACAGAATTGTTGTTATGCTTGGGAATTAATCAGTGTCAGCAGCGAGGGTACGGGAAGGATGAACCAGGCTTGCTTAATTTCCAGAGGTATTCCTATCAAATTCGGTGGGACAGGCTGTCAGCAGGGTGCTCTCCAGAAGGATTTTTTTTTTAAATTCTATTTCCACTCCTCTTTTGAAGATTAATTTTGTCATTGGCTTCAGGATCAAGCGACCTCTGAAGAGAAGAAAATCAGCGAGAGCAAAATTGAACAAAATAAAGTAAATTCTGCAGTATAGCTAATAGCTTTGAAATAGGAGAGATAATAAAAGGAAGGAGGCTACGTGCATTTAATCAAAGTAGGGTAAGCACATCTAAATGGCATTTAATGGCAGAGGATTATGTTCTGTAACGGGGGGAGCCAAAATTCTGGTTTTCCTTGTTCCCCGAGACTGTTGGTGCTGTGTTTCTCCCTGTTTCCTGTCTCCACCTGTTTTTTCTGCTCTTTGCTTTCACCGGTGTTTCCCAAGAAACTCGAGAAAGCTCTTGTCCTCTCCTCGTTCCCTCCATACGCAGTGCCGAAATGGAGCTAGGGCAACGCCTGGGCTGGCTGGTCAGGAGTCGAGCGCGCCAAGGGTGACTCAGACCCTCCCTTATCTCTTCTCGTCTGCTTGCTACCGCTGCGGTTGTTTTGCCTCAGTGGGATCATTCAGATTCCTCCTCCTCCTCCTCCTCCTCCTCCTCAGCTCAGATTTTTCTGTGTGTCCCTGCCAGGCACAGGACCGGCCACCTGTGGCGGGCCGGGCGGATAGCGGCTTGTGCTGAGCCCCGACGGCGTTGGCAGCGGAGCGGGGACAGCGGTGCTCTCTTAGCTGTGTGTGCCAGCTGCAGCCCCAGATTTAGAGCCATGGTTTGATTCTGGGAGAAGGGCATCACTGCAGTAACGGGGTGGTCGGGGCTGTACCAGCTCAGCCCTCTGCCCGTGCGTCGCATGGGTAAGGGAGGAGATACCTAAGTGCGCTCACCCGCATCGACAGCGAAGGTCGTATGGCGTTTAGGTTGCTTTGCTAAAGAGCTGACAGCGGTTTGCAGAGCAGCTGCTCCTCCCGTTGTGGAAAGCTGAGATGTGTGGAAGTCACAGAATCACAGAGTGTTAGGGGTTGGAAGGGACCTCTGTGGGTCACCCAGCCCAACCCCTGCCCAAGCAGGGTCACCCAGAGCAGGCTGCA